AAAAAAAAAACAACAAAATGAAATTCAAGGCGTGGAAAAAAAAACTTACAAAAAATCAAAATTTTTCAAGAGAGAGAGAAAAAAAAAAAAAGAAAAACTTAGTTGAAAGGAAGAAGAAAACCCGTCAAGTAATATGAAAAAAAAAAAAAAATGGGGGGGGGGAGAAGAAAAATAAAAGAGTTGAATGAAACGTCAAGAAACGTTAAATGTTTAAAACCTGTTAAAGAAGCCACAATTTTCTACCCCTTTCCCCCTTCCTTTCCCCGAATTTTCCTTCTCTCTCTCTCTCTCTCTCTACCTTTTTCCGAAGGGCTGGTGGTGGTAATATGCAAGAGACGTAAAGAAAATTAATTAATTTTTTTCATTAACTCTCTCTCTCTTTCTCTCTCTTCTTACTACTGTCCCACATTCTCTCGCGCACCCTTAAAATAATTCAAACGAATAATAAATAATAATAATAATAATAATAATAAAAGAAACGATGACGAAAAAATTTCACGAATAACAATTTTCCAATCACGGTCGATTTGACAATTTTCTTAAACCATATTCGAAAAATCAGACCAAAAAAAATAATAAATCAAAATCAAAAAAAAAAAAAAAAAAACAAAAAACTTTTCCAATTGTAAAGTGCCCTTTAATGGCGGTGTCGGCAATAAATACACGTGGACCGACCCTTTTAAAAAAAAAAAAGGGGGGGAAAGTAAAAACACGCGTAATAAACACCCCCAAAAACTAAACTAAAAAAATATATATATATATATAAATTACTTTTCTTTCTTACTTTCAAAACTTTTGATCGCAATAATCTAAAAGATATAAAAAAAAACGTACGTAACGTATTTAAAACGTTGAGATGTAACGTTTTGATATTGTCGACAATTTGATAAATTTAAAAAATTACATTTGAGCGACAAAATTCCCTCCTTCCTTTCCATTCCTTTTCTCATCCCCCTAAATCCCATCGCCACTACGTCATATCGTGCTCGAACGAATTAACGTCGATTTTTATACGATTTTCCATAGCGAAAATACACAAGTCTAGTTTCGGTCCTGACTCATAATCGAATCTCAATCCAATTAATAAAATTAATTATAATTAATTGAAATTTAAATTTAAAAAAAAAATCAAAAAAAAAAAAAAAAAACCGCAACGACCGTCATCGACATGTTTAAAAAAAAAAATTTCTAGATTCTAGCGCCGCCAAACGGTGATAATTATAAACAAAAAATTTCCGACAAAAAACCGTTAAATTCTTGTTCTTACACCTGGTGCTAATTCATTATTATTACAGTTTTTTTTTTTTTTTTTTTTTTTTTTCTAGAAAACTTTTCTCAACGTTTTAAACACTCGATCTTTCGTGTAAAAATTTTTAAAGTTAAAATACTTTCCCGTCGGTAATAACGGTTGTAAAATTTAAGTTTAAATTAAAAAAAGAAAAAAATAGGTCGATACCAACCGACTAAGAAACGCCATTAAAAAGAAAAAAAAATAAATACAACTTACATCATTATTTCGTATTACGTTACTTGGAAAATAACACCTGAAATAAAAAATAAAAAGTAAAAAAAAAATTACAAATTTATTTTTCCAACTTGAAAACACTAAAAAAACAAAGAAAATCCAACGGTTATATGTATATATATAATAAACAAAATGTCGGAATATAAACAAAACGTTTTCAAACAAAAAAAACTCCCTACATAAAATTTTATGTATGCTTTTTTATTTTTTTATTTTTTATTATTATTAAAAATACTTACAACAATGTATTTCATTCTTTTTTTTTCTTATTGTTTGTCTGACGTCTGTTCAATAATTTCCTTTTTTCCTTCTTTCTCTTTCTTTTCCTTTTGTTACCTTCAATCAAACAAACAACCTAAAAAAAAAATATTATTATTATTATTATTATTATTGTTATTGTTGTTATTTTTTTGACGCGATGGTAGTTTTTTTACATACATTTTACACATTTTGTTTCAACTTTTTTTAAATCTCATAAAAATTGAATATGTGGTAACATTTCTTCCCTCATTCCTTTCTTCCTTCTTATCCACCCACGCTCGGTGGTTTTCTTTGGATTATCGAAGATATAAGATAAATCCCAATGCTTAACGTTAAAATTATTTTTTAATCCTTTCATTTCCTTCAAAAAAAATAATTTCTCTCTCTCTTCTCTCTCCTCCTCTCTTCTCTCTTTCTCCTCTCTTCTCTCTCTCTCCTTTCTTCTCTCTTCTCTCTCCTCCTCTCTTCCCTCTTCTCTCTCTCTCCTCTCTTCCCTCTTCTCTCTCTCTCTCCTCTCTTCCCTCTTCTCTCTCTCTCCTCTCTTCCCTCTTCTCTCTCTCTCTCCTCTCTTCCCTCTTCTCTCTCTCTCCTCTCTTTCCTCTCTTCTCTCTCTCTCTCTTTCCTCTCTTCTCTCTCTCTCTCTTCTCTTTTTCTCCAATTAGATTTCTTTTGTTTTTTCCAAACCTGAAATTATTAATAATAAATTTTATTAATTATTATTGTGGCAATGGTCACCACCACCACGACGCCATTAAAATCAATTTTTTTTTTTTTTTTTTCAAAGGAATTTAATAAAGAAAAGAAACAAGTTATGCGTGCGTGCGTGGGTGCGTGTGTGTGTGCGTGCGTACATTTATTTATTTTTTTTTTTGAATTTACGTTCAATAAAAATCCAGGCATAATCCGTGAACCACATGGGTCCACTGACTCATAAGTTAAGAGTCTATTTCATCCCTATAACGGGGGTTCGTTCATTTATTTCCAGCTTTATTTTTATTAATGCCAACCCCTACCTCCCTCCCTTTCCCTCCTCCTTCCCCCTTCCCCTCCTTTTTTATTATTTTTTTTTTTCATCCCATGTAAAAATGGGGTAAATTCCACCCATACGATTATGTGATTCACATAAATGTTAAATAGAAATTCTTATGCGTGGGGGTGTGTTTGTGTTAAACCCTGACGTGTTTGTTTCCAATATGTGCGTGTGTTTTTTATGTTTGATTTAAAATGTTCGTTTATTACATTTGCAAAATGAAGGGAAAACGAATCGAAAACAACAAAAAAAGAAAACTATTCGACGATTGATTAAACAACGATCATAAAAAAAATTCTTTTTAAACATATTTCATTATCATTATTATCACGTTTTTTCCGTTACAATGAATTATTAAAATTATGATAATTCATAACAAATATTTTCCTATTATAAAAAAAAACAATAACTAAAAACGATAATAAAATATTTTATAACAAAACGTGACAATAAAAAGAAAAAAAAAAAAAAATTAAAAAAATTTTATTATGACCGCGATAATAATAATAATTTTATCATCGAGATATAAATTTCAATGTAATTAATTTTTTTTTCGGGAGAAAAAATTTCAAATATTATTAACATTTAAAAGAGAGAGAGAGAGAGAGAGAGAGAGAGAGAAAGAGAAACCAATAAAAAAGACCAACAACAACAACAACAACAACAACAACATGAAAAACTCATTGTTGTTATTCTTGATAAATAAAATTTAAAATATTTTTTCACATTCATTGATTTATAATATGTATTATTATTATTATTATTGTCATCATTTTAAAATAAAAATTTATTAATGAAAAAATTAATAATAATAATAATAATAATAATAATAACTGGAAACCCCTGTGGGGGAGAAAGAGAGAGAGAGAGAGAGAAGGGGGTGGAGAGCGAAAATGTTTGAAAACAAAACCGAAATGTTTATTTAATAACGGTTTACATGTTGAGCCTTAGCCACAATAAAAAGGGGGTCGATTTAAAAATATTTTTCCTACTTTTATTTTTTTCCTTTTTTCCCCCATTTTCCAGTTATAATTCATTTGACGTAATAAAAGAAATAGTTTTCTTTTTTTTTTTTTTTTTTTTTTTTCAAGAAGGGTGTTTACTTGTTTTATTTGAAAGCTTTTTCTCAATTCGTTTTCCCTCCCTCCCTCCCTCCCTCCCCCCTTTTTTATTTTATTAAGAATGTACACTAAAATATTCTATGCATTTAGTAAACTCGATTCTTTTCTTTACGGATCGTTAATCACTTCAAGACTCAAAAATCTAAATTTTCCTTTTTTTTTTCCTTTTTTTGATTCAATGAAATAAGAATACCGAGTTAAAACTACCACCACTCCATTACTTTTATATCACCCGTGAGATAAAAGATAAAAAAAAAAAAAGGGAAAATTTATCAATTTAATTACTTGTAAAAAATCCGTATCCTCCTCCTCCACCTCCACCTCCTCCTCCCACGTGTTTTCTTTTACTTCGGTTTATGTATATAAATTTAGGTTTAATCCAAAATCCTTTTTTTTCTGTGAGATCTTCTGGAAAAAAAAAAATTTATTTATTATTTATTGATTGATTATTGATTAATTGTGAAAAATTTTACCATCACCTTTTTCGCCCTGTAAATAAAATAAATAAATGAATAAATTTTCCCTTTTTTTTTCCTTTTCCCCCCTAAACGTGGAAAATTTTTAACAAAAAGAAAATTTTATTGTTTTTTACCTATTAGATTTTATAATGAGTTTTCCCTTTTTTTTTTTTTTTTTGTTAAACTTAATGTTAAAATAATAAAAAAACAAATAAAGGTATATTTAATACCATAAAATTCAAAATACCTTTTTTTAAGACCTTGTAAAATTTTCCCATAAATAATAACAATAATAATAATAATAATAGTAATAAAATAAGGTAATCTAATTTTAAATTTGTTGTTATTATTTGATAATTCACGTTCCAAATATAACTTCTTGTTTCTCTCTATAAAAAAAAAAAGTAAAGTCAGTTAAGGTGAAAAACTATTAATAATTTAATATTATATTTTAATTAAATTATATTCTTAATGTAATTTATTAAAAAAAATAATAATAATAATAATAATAATTTGTTTTGTACTAAAATAACTATTTTACTAAAAAATATTTTTATGTTTGTGTATGTACCATAATATATATTTCATCCCGATTGATTGTTTTTTTATTCTTTCAGCCATTCGCCAATTAATTGTTCTATTTGTTTTCTTGCATCAACTAACTGAGGAGGATCTTTTTCCGAACTTGGATACATGTTGGCACAATGAGCCGTGCCTAAAAGACAAACGATTGCATGTAAATGGTAACTACAATTAGTAAAACTTTTGTAAAAATAATATAATTACCTTGAATGTAAATAGCCGGAGCTCCGGGTCTTAATGTTTTTGTGATACCCAAAGCATGCCAAGGATCTATGGACCCGTGAACGAAAACAATATTATCAGCCACTAAATTTAATCCTCCGTAAATCATATTCGTTCTAATAATTCCTTCTTCCGTTAAATTCGCATTGTATTTTATACCGAATATGTCGGTGCACTGTTTCAAAAAAAATTCAGGTGGAAATTTATTTCCAAACATTTGTTTTGTCGTGTTTAAAGAAGAAGTTTGAAAAAATCCAAATTCTGTACACGTTTGATAAGTCCATTGTCTTCCACCCTCTGCGACTTCACTTTTCCAGTCTGTCAATTGCATTTGTTTAATCATTTTATCATATTTATAATCCAGACATTTTTCTTTGGTTGTTTTATTCAAAACAACTTCGTTGACGACTGCAAGTCTATTGATTTCTTTTCCCAATGATTGATTTAACATTATGTCGCATAAATAATCGATTGTTAAATCTGATCCACCTGAATTTTGATCGTGACGATTGTCTTTGTTATATTGAACAACTCCGGCAAAATTTCCAGCTAAACTTTCGAATAAATTTGAATTATCATCTTCATTGTTTAATTCCAGCGGATCACATAGTTTAAACATTTTAAATAGTGATCGTTGTCCTAAAGGATGTATCAATAATGACATTATCTGTTTTGTTCCAGCCTCTATGGCTGTGACACATTCTGGATTATAACTACTTAAAGAATCTTTAACCACATCAAAATATTCTGGAAATGAAATTAAAAAATGTTTTAAATATTTCAATAAGTAACGAAAAAGAATTATATACATATAATATAAATTTTTACCTTCAAAATTGATTAAAGCAAGAAGAGGACCACTGGTAGAAACGGCTCCGAGAACTAAATGAGGATATTTTAATCTCATCCAAGCGGCTAAAGAACCTGGATAAGATCCCCCCATGACAATCCATTTTGGAGGTGGAAAAATATTAAGTTTATTATTGAGAGAACTTATAAAGTATGCAAGATCTCCCAGTGCTTGTTCGCTACTTAAATATTTTAAATTTTTAACTCCAAGATCCCTAGAAAAAAAAAAAAAAAAAAATGGCTACCAATTTGAGATTTTCGATAACATACTTTATATTAAAAATGAAACTTAATTCATTTTGTTTTTCGAATTAACCGTTCTTATTGATAAAATCATTCAATTTTTTTTTAAATTAATACTTTTACTTACTCTGTTGGATGACTTTTCCCATAAAATCTATGTTCTACCATAACACAATAAGCATTATATTTTTTAGCATAATCCAACCACGTTCCATTCACCATCCACTTTGGTGAAGCTTCACCTTCCCCACCAATCATAAGAAAAAAAGGACCATTCGGTTGATAAAATGAATCGTTGACAAAATAACGCTGTAAGAGAAATAAGATTGTTCTTGCACAAAAAAAGGCATTAATCAAAGAGAATAATCCTGCAATCCTTACCTGATTCCATGTTTTAGTGTTCGTTGGGTCAAAATGATCCAATTTTTGTACAAAATATTTCTCTTCGGGTGTTATTTCACTACTTTCCGGGTGGCCAAGATTACCGTGTCGAATTCTACCCCATCGAAAATTTTTCCACGCCATGCCATTATTGAATAAAAAAAAAATTATCAAAAATACTCCAAACCGGTTCATTTTGCACATGGAACTTCATAGAACACATTCGAAGTTTCCTTTGTAACGGAAAAATTTTAAACAGACAAAAGGGAAATTAATTACTCTACGAGAAATTTTAACTTACGTTAAAATTAACGATAATTTTTAATAAAAACTCACCATTTTATAAAACTTATAAAAGATAAGTAATCGAACGATAATCATTCTAAAAACGACTAATTTATTTGTCGTTAAAAAAAAAAAAAAAAAATTTTAACTAAAGTTTGCAAATTTGAAAATATGAGGAGGGAAAATTTTGAATTACATGTTTCCCCTTCTACCGTATCCGTTTCCCAATATGGCTGATAAAAAGTATTTGCATTATGAAACACTTATCAAAATAAATTTAAAAAATTAAATTATTCTGATAAGATAATAAATTTTTTTTTTTTTTTTTTTAAACGTAACTAATTTAAAATTAAAATTTTTTTTTTACTTTCTGAGAAAGAGTAATGGATGATATTAGTCGTAGAATTCATAATTTGATCCGTGATCCAGAATCTGATTTATCAAGATTTTTACAATCATTAATTAGAAGGTGATTTTGCAAATTTTTATATGTAAATATGGAGTGAATTATTTTGTTATTTGTAACAACAAGGTAAACTCAGTTAAATCCTTCTTCTTTAGATAAATGACCGAGATTTTTTTTTAAATGAATTTTTGTTTTAGAATTAGCTTGTCATTCAAATATGTTTCCAAAACAAAAGCTTTGTCAATTTGACCTGCTGCATTATTTATAATAACTATGACCTTCAATTTTTTTTTTTTTTTGTTAAATTCTTTGTTTCGTTTAAATTATAATTTTAATGTCTGCATTCAAAAATTTTTGTTTGTTTTGTTTTAGTGGACAAATACTTCAAGCTTCATTCGATGAAGATGACAGCGAAGATGAATTTTTTTCTAATAATTATGTAGCCCATCCAAATATGGAAACTTTAATCGTAAGATTCACTATTAAACATAAATTATTATTTATTTCATTATTAAACAATTTAAAAAATGAAGGCCATCATGTATAAATGTATCTATAAAGCTGTGATATTTACTTACACACTTATTATTATATTTCTCATCGAATAGGAAAGCGATTTTAGTACATTTACAAAGCAATCATCCGGTTTGATAAGCACAACAGGAGCGACGAGAAAACCCAAATCGATTGCTTCCATGATATGTGCAAGAGAAGTAAGTTTTTCAATAAATTTTTAATTATTAAATTGTGATAAATGTGTCGACTCATTGTACCTTGATTAAATTTTAGAGAGGAATAAATGGAAGTACTGCTTTTTCAAAAGTTGATTGCTGCAAGATAAACAATAATTTTTTACCTAGTAACAGTTCAGTGGTCGCTCACATTCCGACAAAAATATTTTGCGGAATTTATTTAGACAATGGTAGATTTTTTTTAACCGCTAGTCAGGATAGAATGATACGTTTATTCGATGCTAATAAAAAATTTACCTTGATTAAAAAAATTATGGCAAAAGATGTCGGATGGAGTATATTAGATGTTGCAGTTAGCCCAGATGGAAATTATTTAGCATATTCTAGTTGGTGTGATAGTCGTAAGTTGTCGCCTACTTGGATTTACACATAAAGAATTTTCTGTTTAGTTGCAATTTTAAATCTATTTTTTTTTTTTTTTTTTTTTACAATCGCAGTTCAATTGTGTAAAATTTGGGATGATTCTGACAATCATGATAGCCTTTTGATATGTCCTGTCGAAAGAAAATTCTGTATATTTTCATTGAAATTTTCACCAAGCGGAAATGAAATACTTTGCGGTGCCAATGATGGTTACATGTATGTTTATAATCGAGAACATAATCAAAGAGCATTTTGTGTATGTTCATTATATAAAAAAATTACCTTTCATTAAGCGCAAACTAAATGCAGGCGGGGGGGAGGGGGAAATCCTCAAAAAAATTATAATTTTTTCATTTCACTGCAGGTAGTCGGACATGATGATGATATAAACGCGGTTGCTTTTGCCGATAACAGTTCTCAAATATTGTACAGTGGTAGCGACGATGGTATATGTAAAGTGTGGGATCGGAGAGCACTTCTTGAATCGAATCCTAAACCGGTTGGTTGTTTTGCCGGTACGTTCGACATATCCAACGTCAAGCTTGAAATAAATAAGTCAAATTTACATTTATGAATATTCTCAGGTCACATGCTCGGTATAACTTACATAGAACCTCGGGGTGACAGTCGACATTTACTTACGAATAGCAAAGATCAAAGCATTAAATTGTGGGACCAGCGAAAATTTTCATCTTACTTGGGAGTGAGAAATACACTCCGAGCTACAAACATTCAAAATTGGGACTACAGATGGAAAAAAATTCCCAAATCACGTGAGTCGTTTTTGATAACGTCATATATAAATTCCATTAACTAATAATAATAATAATAATAATAATAATTAATTACAGTAAGCGATCCGCATAAACGTTTAAATGGAGATTCATCGATAATGACGTATCGCGGTCATTCCGTTTTGCAAACTTTATGCAGATGTCATTTCTCTCCAGCGGAAACTACTGGACAACGATATATATACACAGGATGTGCCGCTGGACGAGTTATCGGTACTCTATTTAAATTTATTACTTCGTTAAAAAAAAAAAAAAAAAAAAAAACCGTTAAAGAGTTAATAATTAAAGTCTCCTTTTTCCCTTTTTTTTTTAGTTTACGATAGTTTAACTGGAAAAATAGAAAAAGAATTAACCGGACACAGAGCTTGCGTGAGAGATGTTTCATGGCATCCTTACCGACCTGAAATAACAAGCGTTTCCGTGAGTTAATTACACATATATATCGATCCAATGCTAACAAACAATCGATGATTATGGTTTTATTATTATTATTATTATTATTATTATTATTAAATTTTTAGTGGGACGGTAACATAATAAGATGGACATATCGCGAAGAAGAATGGACGGATTCGGATTCTGTGAATGAATCACAGAATCGTCGTCGTACTGTGACGTCATGAAATTAAAAATTTTATATGAGAAAAAAATTTCATATCCTGAAAGTGCGTGCGTGAGTGCGTGCGTGCGTGCGTTTTATGCAATAATAATAATAATAATAAATCAAATTTAAATTTCAATACGAAATCGTTTATAATAAAATTCATCTGCTGACAAAAGACAAAAAAACATTTTTTTATAATAATTTTTAAGTAAAATGTTCGTTTGTCCCATTCATCACGATGAATTTTTTTAAACAATTTAATTTAATTTTTTTTTTATTTAAACAAATTGTTTGGTTGTTGCCAAAAAATTTGTACCTATGCGTATGTATATATATATATATAAATTTTTCTAATAATAATAATAATAAGTAAACAATTTTTTAATTTTTATATAAATAATATTAATTAAATTTTGTAAATATAATTTTTTTTGTCTATAATTTTTATTATTATTATTAAGTTTTATTATTATTATTATAAGGTTTTATTATTATTATTATTAAGTACTATTATTATTAGTTGTTATTATTATTATTATTATTACTATTGTTAAAAATATGTGTTGGATTCGAGTATCGGTAATAAATTTTACATTTTTAAAACAAAAAATATTTTCTGTTTATCCCAACGAAACTGTAAAATAAATAAATTTATTATTTAATCAAAAAATCCCGGATAGAAAATTCTAGAAAAAAAAAAAAAAAAAAGAAAATTATTACATTAACTATCGATTTATCAAAAGCCCATATTATTATTATTATTATTATTATTATTATTATTATTATTATTATTTTATTCCTTAAAAAATTTATCAACGAATTAAAAAGTAAAAGAAAAATTTACTTTAGTAATAATTTTAAAAATTTTTTTTCCTTATAATAATAATAAATGAAATAAAATAATAATAAACGATTTGTGAAAAATATTAATAAATAAATAAATTAATAAATTTGCATAAAATAAAAACTAAATTAAATATATTATATATATAGACCATAAAATTATTAATAAAAAAAAAAAGAAACGATTGCGTAACAACGTCATTAATTAAGCACGCATGTAATTAAATTTATTATTATTATTTTTTAAAACAAATCCAATGACAAATAATTAATTATTAATAATAATAATAATAATAATAATAATAATAATAATAATAATAATAATAATAATAATAAATACACGTTATTTTTTATCCCTATACACGCACGCACACACAAAGTAAATAAATAAATAAATTCGTGATTTGTTGTTAACAGTAACACATTGATAAGAATTTTTTTTTTTTTTTTCGTCGGTTAATTATTTAAATTGTCGTCGTCGTCGTTACGTAAAAAAAAAAAAAAAAAAACAAATTAAATCGAACAGAGGGGGAAAAAATTTTTATTTTGGGGGGGGAGAGGGCGGGGAGCGAGGGGGTGGGTAAAATTAATCATCATACCATTTAATTCGAACCTTCGAACGCACACACGTGTACAAACATACACGCACGCACGCACACGAAAAAAAATTCTTTCTTATCGTGACCTTTCCGTCATATTTTTTTTAATAACTTTTTAGAATGTCAAATTATTATTATTATTATTATCATTATTATTATTATAAATAAATAAATAAATAAAATTTCGATTATGGCGAGTATACAAAGTAGAAAACAATCAATTCGATCAATATTAATAATAATGATAAATATCGAAATAAATGACAAACGATTGAAATTTAAGATATTGATAATAGTAATGATAATAATAATAATAATAATAATAATTTATTTTTTTAATTTGACAGGAAGTTAATTTTTTTTTAAATCGACTTTTCCTTTTTCTTTTCATTTTCCTTTTTCCTACAAGGAATTCATTTAAGGAAATCAATATTATTAAACTGCAAGGTAAAAAAAAAAAAAAAACTATCACCCCCGGGGGAATGTTATTATTATCATTATCACAACCTTCTACGTATTATTAATCGATTCCTTTCAAATCGTCTTTTTCTAAAGACCCCCTCTCCCCTTGCCCCCCCCCTCATAGAAAAGCAACCTTACAAAATAAAAATCCGATCGTTTTTTAAATCTCGTTAACGACTTCACCGAATGTCCCTCCTCCTAATATTTTAAATACATAAAAAAATTTCAATCGCAGGGAAAAAGTCCGTTAGAAAAAAAAACCTCACGCACCCGCACTCCCCCACACTTACAAACAACAAACAACAAACGAAACAACAAACGCATATGAGTATATATAAGTTTAATGATCCTGACCTGATTCATAAGAAAATTAGGAGTAAGTGGTTTCACTTGAAATAGGTTTACTCTGAAGGTTCGTTACAAAAAAAAAATATTAATAATAATAATAATAATAATAATAATAATAATAATGATAATAATAATAATAGTAATAATAATAATAATGATAATAATAAAATAAATAAAGTTTTATAGCCAATGATATTTTTTTTATATTTTTTTTTCCTGGTTGTTGCAATCAAGTTTTTTTTTTTTTTTTAAATATTGTAACTAACATTTATGGTTTGTTGTGGTTGTTATTATTATCAGTTATTCTCGTGCTTTCGTGCGTGTTTGAGCTTATGTAAATTTGTTTGTATTATTATTATTATTATTATTATTATTACTTTTCTCCCCGGTTGTTCTTATCAGACAACGTTTTTTAATCGATTTTTTTTTAAATTAAATATTAAATTTTTTTTTTTTTCGGGAAAAGTAAAAAGGGAAAAATGCCAATAGAAATGATCGAAACGAGAAATTCAATACCATTTATATACGTTAAAGGAAATCATTACGAAATTGGATTTGATGTGGTGAGTTAATTTTCAACCCTTTCATCCCTTAATAATAATTTTATGGTTAATTGAAATTTTTTTTTTTGGTAGGGAAGAACTTTTAGACACATGATACAATCATATTTAAACATTCACACGTCTTTAAATAAATTTTATTTAAAAATTTACGACACCCCTAACGGTAGGAAAGCATATGAAAATACATTGGATGAAGTTAAAAAAAATTTTCCGCATTACGTGGATGAAATACAGGGAACGGCTGATGGTGCCAACGTACCATTTCACAAGGTTTTTAAAATTTTTCATTAATTTTCCTAATTTTCCGGTTATTAAAATAAATTAAAATTAAAATTTATTTATTTATTAAATTAAAGTTATTCCTACTGCACATGGATGAAATTTTATTACAAACGGAAAACATATCAAATTTAGAAAGTTGTGCGGGTTGCAGTTCGATATTTTGTAACAATGGCGAACAGGTAAAAAAATTTTATTATTATTAACGATTAATCTAAGTTATTAACTATTGCCCTCCCTCCCCCTCTCCCTCCCCCCGTTTTTTTTTTTTTTGGACAAAAAAAGAAATTATTGGGACACAATGAAGATGCATTAGCTGAAACTTTGGGTCATTTTTATTTCGTATCCGCTCACGTTGTGAATTCCGAGCCAAAGGGTAAATGGAAAACGACGGAAGAAAAATTTACATCGTTATGTTATGCAGGTATGCTACCTGGATTCACTATGAGTTACAATCGTCACGGATTTGTTTTCTCGATAAACGTGATCAGAGTGAAAAACATGCAATCGGGAAAAACTCGTGAGTCATCCTTGAAGAAAATTAAAATTAAAAACTTTTACAAAATTATTATTATTATTATCATTAATAAATTTTTACAGCGAGAACGATAATGACGAGAGCTTTGTTGGGTGCGAAAAATTTTTCCGATGTCAATGATATTCTTATGGATTCTGGAACGGGTATCGGTGATGGCGTGAGCGTTAATTTTACTTTTTTAAACGACATTAATCAAACTTTTTACAACGCTGAAGTCGGTCCTGCCCATTTTCCAAAAACTCATTCTCTCATTCATATGGAAAAGGGAAAAATGGGGGAACATTTTTATCATTGCAACAGGTCCTATCGAATTTTTTCAAATTTCACACTTTAATAACCAACACTAAAATAACTGAAAAAAAATTTTTTTTTTTTTAAATCAGGTTTTTAAGACTTGATGTGCCAGAAGTGGAAAGTCCATTGATAGACAGTAGCAAGCATAGAGAAACTGTTATAACAGACTCACAGGCTCCTAAAAATTTAACAGATGCGACTAATATTCTCGGTGATGATTCAGACAATAACTATCCGATATATCGTGAAAGAGGAATTGTGAGAACCATAGCAACAGGTACTTAAACATTCTTTACATTAATACCTTAAGGTATAAAAACAAACCCAACAATAAAGCAAAGTGAAAAAATTTTCAGTACAATATTCATTTAATATTATCATTATAAAACATCAATTAATTAATTATTATTATTATTATCTCTAATCTTTTTCTTTCGTTTTTTACTCGCAGGAATTTTCGACTTCAAGAAAGCAACATTAAGTGTATACACAGACAATCCGAAAACAAACAAACCTATTTTTGAATTACCAATGTTTTAATTAAGCCTCACTACTACTATTCATTTATCAATTTTGTCATCATATAATCATTAATTTAACCTCTTACTAAATATAGTTTTTTTTTTTTTTAAAATTAATTATTGCAATAAAAATTTACATCAGCAAGCATTACTCCCATTTTATGGGTTTGATAATGCCACATCATAAATTTGTCGGAGTGACAAATAAAATTTATATTGCAAAAATCAGGTCAAAAATATGACCTAAAACACCTCATGAAGTAAATTTTCACTTCATGAGGTTTACCTTGCTCATCCTCCTCCAGGCATTGGAGCTTTACACGATTGAATTGTAGCTATTCTTCCAACTCTTCTACCCGGAGGACCTGGTGGTCCACCACCTCCTCCTCCACCTGGTCTCCTATAATTTCTTTCATATTGATCGCCCTTTCCGTTAAGAGCTGGATTTATTAGAGTTTGAAAACTAAAATAATCAAATGTAATAATTTATTATTAAAAATTAAAAATTTTTATGTAAAAAAACATATTTGGAAGTATTTTTTAAAATCATTATTACTTTTTGTAAGCTAACAAATTCATGATAACTAATAATTTCCTTTTAGAATAAATAATTCTTAAATTATATAAATTTCAAGGTAAAAATTTTCAAGTTTAAAATTAATTTAAATAGAAAAAAGAGTTACTTACAATGCGGTAATGAAATGTATAAATCCCCAAAAAAAAAGTGATATTTGCTTATGCCATGGTCTTGTTCCAATGGTACCATCTAAAATAAGAAAAGTAATTATTTTAAAATTTTACACGATAAAAAAAACCTTATTACTTCTAATATTAAGTAAATTAATATAGTTTAAAGATATTGTGACATTTTAATGTAAGTTACGTATTATTATTATTATTTTATTATTATCATTAAAAATATTTATTAATAATGATAAAATTTGTTCGAATTAAAAATGATCGGATAAAAATTACAAAGTTTTACGCACCAGAATTAATGTAAACCATTTTTTCAAATTAGGTCAATTTTACTTGGCACTTTTAGGAAAAAAAGTTATTTTAACGTCAATTAACATAATCAGTTTAGACAACTTGATAAAATTTTTCCTTTGACTACGGAGAATAGAGCTTATTGCCACCACAATTAATACCACGTGACTAGTTGCAGCAAATGGGAAGTTGAATTATAGTTCGCCATGTTACTTTATGTCGCAAGTGAAAGTGAATCAGTCAATTTTGGATAGTTTAGACATTTTAGAGGAGCAAATGTATCTAAATCCTTAGTTTTAATAATGGCAAAGGGGGGTAACAACCAAAGAAGTAACAATTCGCGTTTCACCAAGCCTTACAATGTGTCAAACGTGAGTATATAATAAGATGCAACAAGGTTCGCGCGAAACGCTGAAAATAGATCATGGCCAATGGATAGCATTATAACGACCTCCCCCGTGCCGATTCCTTTAGAGTACAAAATTTTAGTTTTTTAAAATCAATTCCATTCACTGTTTTAAATAATTACTTGTTTGATTTAAATATGTTTGCACGTAGTAAAAGATTTATGTTATGTACATGTGCTTAACTTATTTCTTCTTATTCCAAGTTTTCTTGCGTAAATTTTTTAAGATCCGGCATTAAGGCCAAAGTAGGCGTTTAGTTTTTAATGTTTATTGCCAAAATTTTATTCCGTTATTCTTTTTACTATTTTTAAGTGGAATTTAAATGCGCATTTAATATTTTAAATATTTTCTTGTTCATATATATATATATATGAAAAAATCACTTTTTTAATTAAGTAAATGGGTCATTCACCTGTAACATTATTTGAGTATTTAGGTGTAAATTTTTTAAATTTCTACTTGAAATAGTTATTACGTTACTTTTAGTTTGTTATAATTCAATTTTGACATTGACCTACTAGGGTTACCAGGTTTTTATAAAATATTGTTAACCTCCTAAACCTTTTGATATTTTAGGGCTTTTTAATCATATTAAATATTTGGGTCAAAATATAATTTTTACCTTATAAATTAATATATATATATAAATAGGAAGCTTAAGCATTTTTTTAATGACACAATTATTATTATTATTATTATTATTATCAATTACGGATATACATCTTTCAAATTATTTAAATTTTAATTACTTGGAATATAATTTAATTTGGTAATTTTAATTATTTGTTAAAAACTATTATCATCTTTTCAGAGTTTTGTAACAAAAGTTGCATCGAGAGTATCAGGTTATTTAGGAGGTTGGTTTGGTTCATCTGTCAAATCAAATGATGATGCTGATGCCACAGGAACTTCTTCTAGTGGTCATCAGATCTGCGTGGATAATGGTAGTAGGCGTGTGACAGAAGGTTTAGAAGTCAAAAGACCATCTTTAATAACTCACAGATTTATAGAGAGAGAAAATGTTGATGCAACATGTTCTCCGGCTAAACGATTCAAATTATCTCAAACGGAAAAAATTGATATTAATTTTCCAATTAGCCCCATACCAAGCACAAGCGGTTTATTTACCAATACATCTTTAAATCATACCTATGACGTACCTAAAAGTGAAGATTTTGTGACTAATAATCCGGGACCGAGCACGCTGCAAAGTCAACGATATTCAATGACTAATAATGACCCTCCCGCCTCGTCTAACACTGATGTAAAAGCCAATGGAAATAATGATAATCACTCGGATAGCAGTGAATCGACGAGTGGTTGCTCGTCTTTGGTACCTCAATCTGATAGATTATCACAATCAGCCTACATTAGTTCATCGAGGAAAAGAAATTTGGAAGAAAAATTAAAATATGGTATGTTACAATTTTTTTTTTTCCGTTTTGTATTGACGATTTCAAAAGAAATATGTCGGACTTATAAACTTATTTGTAAATTGTAGCTAGGCAATTACAACAGTCGAGGGCATCGACTTATCTTAACAAAAGTATTCCCGTCAACGATACCGTAGGTGCACGAAAAAAGCCATCTTTTGACGTAACTGCTTATTCAAACACCTCAGTGGTAAGATTTATCATAAAAGTAATTTAATAATGATTGTTATCGTTTTAATTCATGGGATATATGTTTGTTTTTTAGGATAAATCCTTATTACGGGAAAAACTCGTTAATTCTCCCTTTTATTCGGGACAAACATCTTACGGTGGAGCTTCGGCATACCGTCTATCTAGAAATACATTTTACTCACAGAAATGTCCGAAAAGTTCGTTGGAAAAAAAGGAAGGAACTCAAATCGATGTTAAACCTTCTCATTATGGCTCTACGGAGAGTTTATCAAACATGAGTCACACGGCTAAAAGAATTCTCGAGGCATTAGAACAATTTTCCACGCCAATAAGTGATGCTAAAAGAATTCCCGTGAACCGATTGACGCCGTTGGGTACAAAACGACGTCGATTCGACGAACATTCAGAATCAAAACTTCATTTATCGACGCCGATATCGCCCTTGAATCCCAATGCGGGACCTGTAATAACAGGTTTAAACGTGCCTACGGTGCCCGATTTATTAAAGCTTAAACGATTGGAGCAAATACAGAATTCTACTGCTGCCGCTAGGCAAGTTGCCGTTCCGAAACAAGAATACACGCTTCCTAGCGACGTAACTCCTGCCAGGAAAACCGGAAAAATAATAACGAAACGTAAGGATAAAGAAAAAAATGCGGTTTTTGACAAAGTAGAAGAAGTCAATTTACCCCAAATATCTCTCCCCATTTCAACGTTACCTACATTCGACTTTAAGTTGCCCCCAACTACTACGACGCAAAGTACAGAAGCTAAACCAGAGCAGCCTGAAAAAATTTCTAATAGAACTTTTACATTTTCCGATCCCATACCTGTATCTGTTGATTCAGTTTCAGACAGTCTAGTGAGAAAAAATAGTTTTACTTTTAGTAATCCATTGTTAGCGAATGGAAAGAAGAATGAAATCGAAAAAGAAGTTTCTAGTTCACTGGCTAACTTTATGTCTAGTGACGCGGTAGCTAAATTAAAAAGGAAATCTATTAATGATGTAAGTTTAAAAAGCAATGATTCTCCCGTAACGCCAGCTGTTTCGCAGGACTTTAAAGGCGGAAGTGTTATGGATTACTTTAAGAAAACCGCTGCGGAAAAAAGTGCTGATAAAAAATTACCCGCAGATTCCGCGAGTGGCACATGGGAATGTGACAATTGTTTGATTCGTAACCTAAACAGTAGTAAAATATGTTGCGGCTGTAAAATTTCGCGAGTGAATAAAAATATCGAAAAGTCTTTGATTAGCCCTCCAAAAGCGAAACCGTTAAAAGAAGAAACAAAGTCGCTTATCAAACCGGGTTTCGGAGACAAGTTCAAACCACCCGCTGGTTCTTGGTCCTGTAAGGAGTGTTTCGTTAGTAACAAAGAATCGGCGTTAAAATGTATCGCTTGCGATGCACCCAAGTTCGGAATCACAAAGTCGAAAGTAGCTTCTACTCCTGTTCCCGCTCCTTCTCTTGCTGCTCCAACTCCGGCTCCGGCTCCAGCTCCAGCTCCTGTTTTACCAACTGTTTCCACTGCCGCTACTGTTCCTACTCCTGAGATTTTTAAACCACCTTCAAATACAGGCTTTGGTGATTTTTTCAAAAAACAAGAAAATCAATGGGAATGCTCATCGTGCATGATTCGAAACAAAGACACGCTTACAAAATGTGCAGCTTGCGAAACTCCTAAGCCAGGGTCAAAGCCCGAAAAAACTGAAACAAAATTTAGTTTCGGTGCTACTCCGAGCACGGGGAGTTTTGTGTTTGGCATAGATAAGGCTTCTGGAATAAAATCTGCCGCTGATTCAAGTACTTTTAAAATACCCTCTACAACTCAACCCGTAACAATACCTAAAAATACGTCCCCAGGATCAAATTTTCAACCTACTTCAACTTCTATAGGAGGTTTCACTCCTGCAATGCCCTCTTCTAACTCGGTCTTAAAACCCAGTTTTGGAGAAAAATTCAAACCGCCTTCTGATTCTTGGTCTTGTAAAGAGTGTTTCGTTAATAATAAAGAATCAGCCATAAAGTGCATAGCTTGTGAAGCTCCTAAAGCAGGCACTAGCATGCCGAAAGTAAGCTCTGCTTCTGATTTAGTTCCAAATCCTGTACCCGCTTTTGCTCTTCCTTCTGCTTCTGCTACTGAAATTTCTAAACCACCCACAAATACTGGCTTCGGTGATTTTTTCAAAAAACAAGAAAATCAATGGGAATGCTCATCGTGCATGATTCGAAACAAGGACACGCTTACAAAATGTGCAGCTTGCGAAACTCCTAAGCCGGGGTCAAAGCCCGAAAAAACCGAAACAAAATTTAGCTTTGGTGCTACCCCAACTACGGGAGGTTTTGTGTTCGGCATAGACAAGGCTTCTGGAATAAAATCTGCCGCTGATTCCAGTACTTTTAAAATACCATCAACATCTCAGACGGAAACCGTACCTAAAACTAATTCTACCGCTAATTGTTTTCAACCCATATCTACTTCAGTTGGTGTTTTTACTTTTGGAATCCCTCCTGCTAATACACAGGAAAAAAAAGATAAGCCTAAGATTGAAAGTAATCCTGCAGTGGAAGCCTCTAGTAGTAGATTTATGGTCACTTCTACTAGTGGATTTAATATTCGGAAAGATGAACCTCAGGTTGAATCTGAAAGAGGGAATGCTGACAAAGACAAAGATAAAAAAATGGAAATACAAAACGGTAAAAATGAAATATCTGTGACCGATGCTCCTAAAGCTGATAGTGAAATTTCGAAACCTTTTATTTTCAATGCTCCGGTAAAACCAAGCGGAAATTCATTATTTGGAATGCCTAAAGATGAAAACAAAGACAAAACAAGTGAACCTAATAAAAAACCATCATTTTTTTTCGGAAGTAATTCAAACACCGTAGGAACACCTTTCGCTAATGCTTTTGCTCCAAATCCCGAAGCTCCTAAGCTTTTCGGTAATAAGGAACAGAATTCTGGAACGGTTCCATTGTTTGGTAACAGTAACCCGACGCCATTCAGTTCACCATTTATGCAGCCCGCTCCTGAAAAACCAGTTCAACCCTTCATTTTCGGAGGCGCATCTGCACAAACTTCGACTGTAGCTTCTTCGACTCCTGCAGTAACGGCTCCTGGAGTTTTCACTTTTGGAGGAGGGAATTCGAATTCATCACAGTTTACTTTCGGTAGCGGTTCAACTTTTAACTTTGGATCCAAATTGCCAACAACCAACACTTTTGAAAGTTTTGAACAGTCAAAGGCTGAAACATCGGGTGGATCGACATCTGTTTTTACCAATCCTACACCCGTTTTCGGTATGAGCAGTGCTCCCGCAACTTTTAACTCGGCTCCTTCGAAATTTGAATTCGGAACTCCATCAGTGCAAGCGCAAAATCCATCCAACGTTTTTCAATTCGGAGCAACTTCTTCAGAGTCGCAACCAGCATCGGCTCCACCAGCTACAGGTTTTAGTTTATCAGTGCCTCAAAGTTTTAACTTTACTGGAGGGCAAACGCCGACTTTTAGGTGAGTTATAGCAAAAGAAAAAGGTTCGACATTCAACATGGTATGTTTTACATTTTTTTTTTTTTTAAATTTTGCATTGCATTTTTCAGTGCGCAGCCCAAGCCAGATAGCCGAGAGCCAAGAAGGTTTTTAAAAGCTGCAAGGCGAAATAACACGAGGAGGCCGAACTGAAAGAGACAGCGAATGACCTTTTAACGGGGTCAAAAATCATTTTTACGAAAAAATCCTCAGAAGGGATTTAAAAAAAAAAAGAGGAATGTAGTCTTTCGCGGTGGTGGCACACAAAAATGTTTAAACAATTAATATTTAAAAAATTTTGGAGATCCACGCCCGAAAGGGATGTACAAATGTATTTAACGCGCGCTTGATTTCATTAATAATAATAATAATAATTAGTGTCATTAATTTTTAAGTAAAGCTAAATATTAATTAATTAATAATAATAATAATAATATACAAATTATAAAAAACAAAAAAGCAAAAAAAATATTTTGTTGAGATTAATATTAAGAGATTTTCAAAATTCTAAATGAAAAGAAAACGTGTAAGAGGAACAAAAAGGAAAAAAGTCTGATCTGGAAAATCAGATGACATTGTACATACTTAGGAACACGCGCACACTCACACACACACATTGGGTCGAGTGACTTTATGCGATTATTATTTTTTTTTTAAAGAGAAGTAAGAATAAAAAAGGAATAGAAAAAAAAAATGGTTACTATATTCCTGCAGTGGGGATATATGATCGAATAAATAGCAGACTACAAAGAAGTAGGGAGGGGGAGAGAAAAAAAAGAAGAGTAAACTGACTTTTAAATGGTTTTCTCAAATACAAACTTTTTGTAAATCTCTTTTTACTCGTATAATAATAATAATAATAATAATAAAACAAAAGTGATTTTTTTGTTTCACTTACCACCGTGAATTTACATGTGTGCTTACATTTGCTTTTTGGTCCTTTTTTCTTCAAACGTAACCTGAAAGTATTAAGGATACGTTAGGGATTATTAAGATTTCCTTCCCCCCCACCCACTGCGAGGAAGTAAAAAAAATATGAAAGCAGAAGAGAAGAAAAAAAAATTAGTTTTTAAGATTCAAATTGTGTATATTTTTAATGAATTCGGGGGATTGATTTAATTTTTTTTTTTTTTTTTTTTTAATCTTTTTTTTACCGATAAGTAGCGTTTTTTTTTTTTTTAATATATATATATACATTTATAAACAATTTGAAAAAAAAATAACCGTCATTTAAAAATGTTGTTGTGATTTGAAAAATAAAAAGAAAAATTAAAAAAAAACGGTTATTTAAACAAAAAAAAAAAAAACGCTATTTAAGTTAAATAAATCAAAGCATAAATTAATTAATAAATAAATTATTAAGAATTTCAAAAAATGGAAATTTCAAGTAAAATTTGAATTTAAATTATATAGTAATTATTATTATTATTATTATTATTGATATACGAATTCCAAAAAAGGGAATAAAACAAAGGAAAAATGTTCAAATTTTCAAGTTTTTTTTTTAAAAAATTTCAAATTTTGCTTGAATTTTTTTTTTTTTTTTTTTTTTTCGTTTGTAATTATTAATTATTATTATTATTATTAATGTCATAATTATTTTTTTATTTTATTTTTTTTAAAAGTAAAATTAAAAGGAGAAAAATAAAAGTTTTTTTTTTAATTAAATTAAACGGGAAAGACTATAAATATATATATATATATAAATAAATAAAATTGTTCGTAATTATAATTATAGTTATAATTAAAATTATTATTATTATTAAATAAGTATAAATAATAGTTTGAACATTCTCAATTTTTTTTTTTTATGATGGTAATAATAATAATAATAGTTATTATTATTATTATTATTATTATTAGTAATAAATTATTAATTAATGTTGTACATATTTTTGTACATAATTTGCCAAAAAGGTGTGTTCACGTATGTTGAAATGAAAACTTTTCAAACAAAAAAATTTTTTTTTTTTTTATTTTTTATTTCGATTCGATTCGATAGTTTGATTACTACTACTACTATTATTATTATTATTATTCTTTTTTTTAAATTTCGTGACGTAGACCTTATTGGCATCTTATACATAATTTGTATATTAAATAATAAAAAAATTGATATTTTTTTTTTTTTTTAAATGACGAAAATGCTGTCTTATATTAAGAACAATTTTGTAATTAAAAAAAAAAAAAAAAAAGAATTTTTTTTTGGAGAATGTTCAATCTAATGATAAAATTATTATTATTATTATTATTACTATTATAATTTCTTTAGTTGTTGAAAAACAAATAAGAAAAAAAAAAAAATTACAAGTTTTCATAAATGTTTTTATTTTATTTTTTTTAATTTTTTCCTTTTTTTAATTTAATTTAATGTCTTGGACTTTTTTTTTATAAATGATAAATTCATTTAATGAAAATTTAGTTTGATTCAAGAAAATTTATATAATAAAAGATTAAAAAATATTTTTTTTTTTTAAACAAATGATTGATTGCTGTGATATTTTTCAATGGATCAAACTAAATTTTAATTTTCATTGATTTTAATAGGTTTTCTTTTTATTTTTGTGAATAAGATAATTATTAGCATAGACAAATATTGAAAAATATAAATGAAATAATTTTTTTTTTTTTAAAGTATTTTTTTCTTTTTAAATTGTTTTTCCAATCGTTAATAAATGGGTAACCTTTATAAATCATTAATTCTTTTTCAAGTAAATATATCGTTTAAAATATAATCGTGAAAATACTGGGGGGGGAAAAATGTAAAAAGAGTCAATTTTACAATTGGTAATATTAATGGCGGTAAATGAGTTATAACCGTTTTAAACAAGTCGAGAATAAATTTTAAGTAATACCTTGATAAAACGTTAATCCGTACAAAATAATTATTATTAACACAAAATATAAATACTTGCAAACACACTCGCGAGTTTTTTTTCCCGTATTACCCGTTTTTAATCACAAAATAAAACTAAAAATAAATTTACTTATTTGTTACATCGTCAAATTCTAGAATCGAACTGATGGCGGTTAACTGATTCTCAACTCTATGACGCGTAAACTAATTCCACGACAAAACCGTTAAAAATCGAACGAATTTGAAATGAAAATAGAACACAGTGAGTGTTGTAAACAATTTATAAAGTAAAAAACGTTTTAAATTGTTTTTTTTTTTTTTTTTTCAAGGAAAATAAAAATTAATAAAAGTTTTAATTCGACAATTTATTTATTTATTTACTTTTTTTTTTAATTAATTAATTTATTTTATATAATAAACAGTATTTCTAAAAAAAAAAAAAAAAAAAGAAATTTATGTGACGAATTTTTTTTTTTTTTAATATATTTGAAACTAAAACAACACATTAAAGGTAAGCTTTTGTCGACACGACAGATCGTTTTATTTATAATGAATAATCATTTTTATGATAATAAAAATAATAAATAATAATAATAAATTATTATTATTATTATAAAACAATTAAATACAATAAATTAATCATAGCCAAAAAAAGAATCCTGCCATACACATTTAAGCCCAAGAAATTTTTCATTTTTTTTTATATATATATATATATATATATATTTATACAAACGATAAATGAGGATTATATTTATAATAATTTTATTTATTGGATTACATACAAGATTAAAAAAAAATCAATTCGTGTAAATATATATATATATAAACATTATTCATTTATCATCATCATCATCATTATTATTTATTTATTTGACGTGCATTTAATTGTAAATATATAAAAAAAAAATTTATTTCATTTATCTTGAACCAAAAAAAAACAAAAAGAAATGAAACGAATTTAAATTATTATAAAATAATAATAATAATAATGTGTTAATAATTTAATTGTAAAATAATTTACAAAATTTATCTAATCGAATTTTAAAATGATTTTTTATTTTATTTAATTTTAAATATAATTAATTAACTGACATAAATTTATACGATTTATTATTATTATTATTTTTATTCATTATTTATTATTATTTTTTTATTTATTGGATACAATTTTTTTTTTTTACCTTTTTTTTTCTTTTTTCTTTTTCTTTAAATATTATTATATATATTTATATTACATTCAAAAAAAAAAAAAAAAAAAAAAAAGAACAACAAATTGCAAATGGCGTTGTTTGACAAAAATTACATACCAACATGGCGACATTTTAAAATGTCTGTGTTTGTGTGTGGGGGGACAAAAAAAAATCAAATTTTAAAACCGAATCGAAATATAAAAACGCGTTGTTTGATGCAAAATCATTTAAAATAAAATAAAATAAAATAATTTTCACAATTAAAAAAGAAACGCACGACGAGCCGCGCCCCTCTGCACAGCCAATTAATTAATAATTAAAAACCATAAATTATAATCATTATTATAAATTTATTATTATTATTATTACCGTTTATCATTAATTAATTATCGACCGTTACACATAAAATACAATAATAATAATAATAATAATTAAAATAAAATGTTTTTTTTTTTTCAACTAACTGTATCTCGACAGTAATTCAAATAATAATAGTAATAATAATAATTAAATTAATTGACAATGACAAAAAATTTTTTTTCCCCCCCCAATTTTTACGTCATCATTATTTAAATTTAATTTGTTGTTCCTGTTTATGTATTCGTTTAAATAATGATGACGTAATAAATTGATACAGGTATCAACAGGAGGTATCGGCGGCTGCCATCGTTTTTTTTTTCCCTTTTAAATTTTAAAAATAGTACTAACGACATATTTGATTTATTATTATTATTATTATTATTATTATTAATTTAAAATAGCACAATTAATAGAAATTTTTTTCACTTTTTTTAAAATTTTTCTCGCGAGAAAAAATAATGAAAAAAAAAAAAAAGAAAAAAAAAAAGAAAGAAAGAAAAAACATTAATGAAACATTTTTTTTTTTTTGTGTGTGTGATTTATTTTATAAACATTAAAATATTATTATTATTATTATTATTATTATTATTATTAATAATGACTTCTTGGGTCCCATTTGTTGTAACCAATTGACGCGGGAGCAACAATTTTTGGCTTTTTCTTCATCTTTCTCTTTCTCTCTCTCTTTCTCTTTCTCTCCTTCACCATCCCATATATTTCTATACATTTTTCTTTTCCCTTTCTTCGGTTACTTTTTTTTTTTAATTAAACATCCAATTCCTTTTTTATTATTATTATTATTTCTTTTTTTTTTTGTGGAAATCGCTATTCGGGGCACATCCGAAATGTCGTTAAGAGCATTTCCTTCTTGACCAATTCAAAATTGCAACTACTGAAATTATAAAACAAAAAAAAAAAATTAATAAATAAATTTTTTGCCCTCCTCCCTACCTCCTCCCCTTTTTGTCGTGTACGTAAAAAAAAAAAAAATAAAAATTACAATTATAAACTCA